TTATATTCAGACCTGTTTAGATTACATTAAAAAAAAACAGTGCATTAAAGGACACAAAACTTATCATATATGGAAGATCTTTGGGAGGAGCTGTGGCAATTGATTTGGTGTCAAAAAATGAAGAAAAGGTACAGTAATTATAGTAATTATGGATATTAACATACTGCAATTATGTATTGAATTTCAAAAATATTTATTAGGTTGATGCCATGATAGTGGAAAATACATTTCTTAGCATTGTAAGTCACAATATATATATATCTTTGAATAATAATTTATAATGATTCTTCAAATTATCTTATTTTCAGTTTATTTCACAATTACAAATTATCACAAATTATATCACAAATTTAGCCAAAACTTCTTCCAACATTTTTTTCACCACTTCGCTATTTTACATTTTTCTGTTCTCAAATCTGGCCATCTGAAAAATCAATATGTAATATTCACAGGATTCCAATTTTATTCTTATCAAGTGATAAAGATAAATTAGTACCAAAAGAACATATGAAAGAATTATATAATTTGACAAATACTCAAAGAGGTAAAATCTGGAAAAATTTTCCAAATGGACATCATGCAAATACTATTAATCAACCAGGATATTTTGAGACTATTGAAAAATTATTGAAATGTGTTGTGAATAATGAAGAAATAGAGTTTATTGGAGACCAAAATTTAAGTCAGTAAATTATTTAATGCATTTTTGAAAAAAATATTTACAATACAATGTAGAATAATAATTATTGTTTATATAAAATAATAACTTTTTTAATACATTGCATTGTTAGTAATAATTTAAAATAATATAAATAAATAATTTTTTATGAAATAATAAGTCAATAAGTAAGAAAATTTATGAATTTCTCTACTGATGCATAATAATATCTCTCATAATCTGGCTATTATTCACATTATATGTAAAACAAATATGAATTCAATATTGAAAATATAACTAGAAATTCAGGTTTTCTGTGAGATAAAGACTTTTTTTTTTTTGGTTTACATTTTTTATCATAGTATTGAATTTGAGCCGATT